TCCTGTTTTAAGTCCTAGAACCTGTATTTTTTTGTGCTCTATTATTAGAATGAAGCTTCAGAAAATCCTCAGTTGTCCTCCCTTGACAAAACAGATCTGACTCTTTCGGAGGGCTCACAGTCCCTTTGCAAACCTGAACAACTGGAAAAAGTTTTAAACGGTGATGTATTAAGTATACTGAAAGTAACTATGTAATTACCTGATTTAATGTTGAGATGAAAATTCATGCAAAGGTTTACATAAAATTACTTTTTTCTTTTAACAGAGATGAACAAAGAAATTACTAACTTGTTATCAAGATATGCTCACATTTTAAGGCAAGTTGACTTTGTCCTGTTTGTACAGCACTTTTCTAACTTCTCTACATAAGTGATTACTGTGGCTGCAGTTTAGAGAAATGAGCACTGAAAACCATTAAACACAGATTTTGAAAGAAAAATGCTGTTTTCTGTTAAAACAGAGAACTAATCTGGTCAGAAACTGAGTACTGGTAGGCAACACATTTTTAAGAAAAGCATAAAAGCAGTTCTAGAAATTGAGAATGTTAATGGCGTTAACTGATTTTAACTACAGATTTTTTCAATTAAGTGAGAGAGCAGCGATGGATGCTTCTTACATCCAAGAACTTGATGGAATCTTAAACGAGGCGAGGACCATAGAAAACCACTTAAAACAGAAAAGGGAGAGTCTGAAAGAGAGATTCACTGTGATTGCAAATACTCTGCAAAGCTAAATGGAGTTTGTCAAACTGCAAAAATGCAGAGCAAAATTTGTAGTATATTTTATGTATTAAAATACAAACTATGATGAATGCTATGATGTGTGTTTCGTAAATGTCGTATGTCAGTATTTCCAGCAGTTCAGGAAACTTTCAACAACTTGAGCAGCAATTTATTTTTTAAATAAGTAGATTCAATACATAGGGTAATTGTAATTAGTATAAAACAATACTAAATATCCTTTTTTGAATCCTATGGCTCCATGGGATTCTACACATTAAAACATCTTTTCTTACTTGTTGATCCATTGCTTAGGCTGTCCCTGTGATTCCATTACTAGAAAATATTGGAAGCATTTGAAGAAGAAAGCAGAATGAATTTTACATGGCTTGGTTTTAAGGCTGTGGAATTTCAATACCACTGAATTTAAGAGCAGCCATGGTATTTCTAATGTCACTGTTAAGGATGTTTTTTTCTTCTGTCACAACCAGTCTTTTGCTCTAGAATATAGTATAGAAACATTTCTACAAAACATAGAATTTTGTGATGTAAGCAGAAAAGGACCTCAGATTATTTTACATTAGCCATTTTCTGTGGCTATTTTCTGGGGTTTTTTTGTTTGTTTTTTTTCTTGCTACTTTAGAAACTGTTTTGGTGCTAAAATCTTAGTAGAATATACTTGCAATCTTATTTCCATTTTGTCTCAAAATAAATAGATTCAAAAGATCATCCTAGAAAAAGGGAAACTCTATTAAGAACACTAGTCTGGGAAACATAAAACGAAGTATAAAGTCTTAATTTGAAAATACATTTTAATACTTCTAGAGATTTCAAATGAAACCAAGGCCCTTTTGATATAAACATCAAAGCACATCATCAAAGCTTTGCTGGTAATGTCAACAAATAGCTAGATAATCTTAAAGTAATCTGGAATTACACTGCTCTTTTGTTACTTAGATACATCAATATTGTTTGCAGTATATCCAGTTTATTTAAGGATGCTTCTGGAGGTTTTTTGAGCACTTTTTCTTTCTCGTCATTTGACTCTGTTAAAAAAGATAAAACATTAAAATGTACAAAGCATCATTTGTACAAATTGTGAGGCTAATGTAATAAAGAAAAGTGCTGGATAGTCCTGTTGCTAGCATAAGATATATTTGTATCCTTACCCCAGTACTGTGTATTAATTTTCTGTTTAAATTCTTTCAGACCTAATCCTTTTTCTCCCCTTCTTATTAAGTTATTTATTTATTAAATAATTTTTTAATTTTTTTTTTTTAGTAAAGTAAAAGCCACAAGCAAATGTGCACCTGACAAACTGATACTATTTAAAACAAATAATGAGAGAAACTGACATCTAGGGTGAGATTTTCCTAGGTATTTAGATACCTAAAGATGCAGATATGTACTTAGTAGGATTTTCAAAGTGCCTAAGCGTGTAAGCGCCTTAGATGCTTAGGAATTTTTGAAAATCCCTGTAAGGTGCCTGTCTGCATCTTCAGCATCTAAAGACTTTCAGAAAAATCACTCCTCTAGTCTACATCCTATTCTCCAGTCTCTTTCCTAATAATCACATCTCATCTTGTAATCAATCTTGGTAATGCTGTTTAGAAGAAGGAAGTGGGAGAAAGAGAAAATATTTTGGAAGTTAAATTTTCTAGAATATTTTGCTAAGTTTTTCTAAAATCTCTGATCATCTATAATGATGACAAAAAGCCTTTTTAAATTGTCATCTATGAAGTGTCTCAATTTAGAAATTTATCTATAATTATCTATGTAAGTCTTTAAAGAATAACTACATAAATTTCATGACTCTTAAAAGTCTGCCTGTTGTCAAAGTCAGAAGCTTGCTGCGTTTTATCTGTTTGTGCTTGTGAAAATCATGCAAACTTTTTATATCACCTGTATTGAGGTACCCTAGATTTAGTTTATTAGCTAATACATGCCAGTTGAAAACCTTTGGTTCTAGTATTAAGTATTATTAAGAAGCAGAACTTAGAAAACTATTGGATCACATAAACTAAATTTCTTCCCTTAGGGCATCAAGAGGGCACAGACATACAGGGTTACTCCTGCAGCAGTTTGCTCCATTGAAAAACTTCATAAAATCCAGTAAAACTTACTAAATACAGAAGAACAAAGAACTGCTTAGTCTGGCATTCAAGTGCAGTTAAATTCGAGACATTCTTCTCTAAATGATGACTTTTTTTTTTTTTACAGGGATTTCTTATATAGTTCGTTGTCATTACATGTTATACTTTAGAGTGGGATCCCTGTGGTAGTAAGAGGATTTTAGAATTTGAAAAGATATTGAAAGTAAAGTCAGTAAGTATGGGCACAGTAACCTAGCTGAGATTATGAACAGTGTGGTTATGCTTATTAAAGGGAAGTTATTCAAAGCTTTGCAAGATTTTGAAATAGGTGTGTTAAGAAATTGTTTTTAAATTGCTGAGAGCACCAAAGCTTCTTGTTTTGCTGCACAAAGCTATGTGAGGAGATATATTAATAGTAAACACTGACCAACTTAAAATGAATAAAATACGTAGTTTTATAAAATATCAGCTTGAAATGGTAAGTTCAGAAAGTTTAAAACATCCATTTGAAGTAAACCAGTCTCTTCTCTTTTGAAGTTAAAAAATACGTCAGGAATGGAAAATATCCACTTACTGGTTGCTTTCATACATAAGCTACTTCCTATTTAAAAGTGAGCCTTCCATAATTACTTTGCTGTATAAAAAGACAGGGTGGGGTTGGTTTGTGTGTGTGTGTGTGGGGAGGTGTTTCTGTTGGTTGCTTTTCAGTGTTCCACTCAACATCGATATATATGGGAATAGTCATTATACGCTGTTTTTCTTCTAAACCATTTGAAAATAAAACGTTATAGTTTTCCTATTTGTTGACAATTTGTCTACCCTGCTAATGATATTTCTACACTGATTCTTCTCTTGGATATTTTGATATGTCTAGGAGAAACAAACCAAATTTTGTACTCTCTCCTTATGTGAAACTAAAAGCTCGTTCTGTCTCTGAGGAATGAGTACACATGAAATCATACTGGCACCAGTGCCATCACTATCCGCTTTCCAGTTTTACTGAAGGAGGTTTGAACAGAAAATTAATTGGCTTTAAAGCTGCCAAATCTGATCAGCAAAGCTCAGCTGGTCACTATGTTTTCTTTAAGCTTTTCCTCCTGCTCTTTAAGCTGCAGTGCCTTATAAGTTAACAAGAACATCTAAGATGACGGATCAGTAGCAGAATATAAACGGATTTTTATAAAAAGAAGTGGAAGCATCTTAGAAGAAGTTCTGACCCTCTTGAAGTCAAGGGAACTTTTGACTGAGTCTTCTGCGTGTCTGACCTTGCTGTGAATACCTCCACAGTGTGGAAAGTATAAATTACGAAAACCTAATACTCACTTCCTCTCACTGCTCTTCTATTGCTTAATAGCTAAAAATGGAAAATAAACAAATAATGCAGAGACCCCTTAGGTACTCAGCAAAGAGAATTCTACCCTGAGAAAATGCTAATTGTGACTTTTTTACTGAAGATGAAACTGCCTTTTAGCATTGATGTAGGAATGTGGGTCATAACAGAAAAGGACCAAATTGAGTAGGTAATAGGTGTGTTTAAGGCTCATGACATTCTGTCTAGAGCTCATCAGAGTTCTATTTTGCTACTTGTAGAATCCTTGTTTTCTCTTTGAAAATCTTTCAGTTATTTGAAAGCCTAATGGTGAAGGCAGCGTTGGAAAAGGGCATAGTGGGTGTTTTACATCATCAGGATGAATAACCAGAAAAAAAGAGGGCAAAGAATCATGGGTCAATCAGCCTATCTCCCAGTAGAGACTCTGAAGTAAATTTCTTAACAATGACTTTAAAATCAGCTGCCTTGAAGCCTGGCTACCTCAGTACAAGAATACATCACCTCTTCTCACTTTTCTTCCAATTTCTCAAGCTACAACTGGCTAATAGCAATAAAGCATCATTTTTCCAGCAGTGGTAATGTCTTCGCACTTCATCAACACACCTGGCCCAGATGCCAAGAGGGTCCAGGGCTTCTGAGCTGCTTCGACTAGAGGCAGGTCTCCCCCATGCCCTGCGACTGTGTTGCCCAGCTATAGCAGTGCAGTGCAGTCAGGCTCGTTCATCCTGACCTGCTAGGGAAGATATTCATGGCTTTTATTCTGAAATGATGATGTCGGGAAGCTCTTCAACCGATCCATCAGTGCTGGCTGCACACTATCATCCTGGCACGGTACCTTTACATGACCATCTCCGATTGATGCCTTCTTCTGAGTGGAATATGTTTTCCAAAATCCTTTTGTCTGCCACCAGCCTCCTGCTTGCTATATTGCGTCATTTCCTTTGCTCTCTGATGCAATTCATTCCAGGTAAAATGCATTAACAAACAAATCGTTCTATTCCATCTTGGGAAGGGGGTTTCTGATGCTTTTAAGAGCTGCTGCTGCTACACGTCGTTTGAGCAATTTAATTTCTATTGATCAGAAATTCAAAGTAAGCAATTTGAAGTGTTATTTAGGAATTAGGATTTCTCTGTTATTTGTTGAAAAGCAGGAGAGGCAAGTATATTGCACAGATTTTCTCGGATTACTAGCAGATATTGATGGTTTAGAGCTGGAAAACCAGTAAGCAGCAGATTCTCTCTGCAAGGGAGCCTGCTGTGAGACATGTAGGCGGGCTGTGAAAGGGAGAGGATTGTTTAGAGCAGCAGCATTACTGAAGATTTGATCTGAACATACAAGTGGGAAACTACTCCAAGGGATTTTGTGTCACCATTGAGCTCTGCAGTTTCTGCCGTCATTGTATCATTGCACAAATTGAGCAGTCTTTTTTCCTTTTTCTCTCTCTCTTTATTTTTGGTCTGATAGTGAGATCTACTATCATAAAATAGAAATCAATAAAGATCATGACTTAATTCACCAGAATCTCTGCTTTTTGATGGTGGTAATGTTGTTTTTCTCCCCTAGAGAATCAAAGGATTGCTTCTGGTGTATCCATAGAGCTGAAAGGGTCTCAAATCTGTCTTGTTTTGCCACCAGAATACATCCATAGATACAAAAAACCCCAAAAAAGGTTCAGAGTACCTTTCTAGGACAATTGTTCCAAGGACTTGATGGTGTAAATCAATATTTAACAAAGAAACTACGCTTTTTCATTTTTTCAGCAGGAAAACACCCTGGAAGTGTAGAACCTATTTCTATAGGTGTCCTTAGGAAATCAACAGATATTTCATATGCGAGAGTGTGCACAGTTCACAGTTGCTTTTCTCCCTCAGCTCCCTTTGACAAGCCTTTTTCCATTCCTTTTCTCCATTTCTTTTCCTCTGTGTTTTCTGTCACTTCTTTTATGTGCTGTTTTGCTGTTAGCAAGGAACTGGGTGGCTGAGTCTCTGACAATGGGAAATCAACAAGCTACATGGAACAAGGAGTCAAGTACGGGAACTTCCCAGCAGATACAAGGCAAGTGCAATAACTTCAGTTTAGAAATCAGTGTGGGACACTCAGGTAAGCTGAGGGGTTCAAGTCCGGTGAAGGCAAAGGGTGAAAGCTGGAGTATGAGATGGCAGGTTGTAATATTGTGCTGATTTTCAGGTATTATGTTCAAGCAAATACAGTAAACCCAACTGGGACTGTACTGCACTTGATTTATTGCTTATTCACTTCTTCTCTTTTGGAGTGCAGTCAGAACAGACTCAGTATTTTATTTTGTCTAATTAAATGTTAATTTAAATGCTGCTCAAGATGAAAAACCAGTCTGTCTGCTGTATTTTCCAGAGACTTGAGTCTTCTACTGATTGAACAAGGGGTAATGGCTTTAAATTAAAAGAGGGTAGGTTTAGATTAGACATTAGAAAGAAGCTCTTCCCTGTGAGGGTGGTGGGACACTGGCACAGGGTGCCTGGAGAAGCTGTGGCTGCCCCATCCCTGGCAGTGTTCAAGGCCAGGTTGGACACAGGGGCTTGGAGCAACCTGCTCTAGTGGAAGGGGGCCCTGCCTGTGGCAGGGGGGTAGAACTGGATGAACTTTAAGGTCCCTTCCAACACAAACCATTGTATGATTCTATGATTTTTGGGTAGCTGGATGTTAAAATAAGCTAAGCTTTATGACAGAGCTTTTATCTGAAGGTGATACACCTTTATTACAATTGCTCATCCGCAGTGCATTCCAGTAGGAAGTGTTTGTTCTATCTGCTCAGTGCTTTTCAAAGTAGATGCAGTTAAACACAGCAGTTTTTAGTATTAAACTATGATTAGAGTGTAGACTTTGTTCGGATGGTTTTTTTAATAGGGAAGAAGTGTAGGATGTGCCACTGTGATGTTTTGTTTCGCTGGGTTTTTTTTCTTTTTTTTTGCAGCAACTTGATTTTTTGAAATGAATGCAAGCCTTTCCTGTGCTGTCAGGGGAGTAAGTGTTGCACAGCTCTTCTGGTCTTAGCACCATGTGCTAATTAGCCAGAGTTGTTTGCTGCTGCTGCTACTGATCAAGTCTCAGTATGTTGCAGAGATAATGATTCCTCAAATTAGAAAAGGCAAGGTTGCATAGAGTCCCTGCAAAGGACTGTCTGACTGCATCCGCCTAACCGCCCTTGTAGTCACTCTAATTGTAGGTAAGGATCTTCCTGACACCACCTTGTTTCCAGATTGAATAAGCTATCTACAGTACTGAGGCATTTTTTACGTAACGTGAATAAAAGACACATTTTTTTGTGTTGTGCCAAGTTTAGAGGAGGTCGTTGCTTATTTTTGTCTTCTGTTTCTTGCCCTGAATCTCTTCAAAACAAACTCACCTGAGCAAACCTGCCTTTTTTTTCCCCTAGTAGCCCTCCCCTTCTGGCTTTCCAGAATTGTCCTAGAAAGACTTGTCATATTTCTGAAAAATTGGTTTGACCCATGTGGGTCAAAATCAAATCATGCTTTGCTTACATTTTGCATGCATTACTATCAGGATCTTCAGCGCATTTGAGTGGTTCCCAGAAGGAAAGCTAGAAAGATATGCTTGTTTCTTTCTCTCTGGTCTGATAGAACAGGATATTAACACATTCTTGTTGTATATAGCCTGTTCTCAGACATCTTCTAGACTATGTCTTGGAAGGAATTTTAAGTAGGTGAATTCTAACTAGATCAGATTTCAGGAAGGATTACTAAGTTGATCATGTGAATGGCAAGGTGATCACAGGAGAAGAAAAACGAAAAGAACTTAGCTTGCTTAGCTTAGGAAGTGATATGATTCCTTACTCTAAATACATGTGGTAAACACCACATGAGAGGGAGAACTACCACAGCCACCTAACAGTGCTCACAGAAGAACAAGGGGGACAAATTGTCCTACAAATACAGTCCGCCTGTAGAGTCAAAGGATTTTTCTAGTAATCTGGGCAATGAACAACCGTCCAAAGAGGGGATAAGTGTGAGGAAACATAAGATAGAGTTCATATATATCGCTTTCTGGGACAACAAATGGGATGAGATGACCCAGTGTTGTTCAGGCTCTTCTCTGAAGTGTATTCTTCTAAATTCCCACACTGCTGTCCAGGAAGTTTCAGTGTAGTGCTGCCCTTGGTCAGGCCACCTTTGTTTCTGCTTGGATGCAAAAATACCTCCTTAGGAACACACTGCTTTCATTTTTTTTCCCTAAATATTTTACATGTTTACAAACAGTAGCTTGGCATAGTAAAGCTGCATTTCTGCAAATACTGATTGCAGTCACTAAACCTGCCAAGTGTTTGTTGATGTGAAAAGCTTCCTTATGTCTAAGGAAATACTCTGAAGCACTAATGGTGGGATCAGATTGAGTGCTTCATATAGGATTTAATCAGAACTTAATTGAATTTTAAGAGGGAGAGGATGTTGGTGGTTTGAGGTTAATTGCTTTAAGTCCTGCAGCCTGATTTCTTTATCTAGCTGACTTACCATATTAGAGATCTAAAGAAGGATTTGAGGATTGGCAAGCCAGAGAACTACATTGAAGGGATCTTGCAATTTACCCTCCTGCATGCCTAACACCCATTCTGTCTGTGGCTGTTCTAAAGAAGCACACTTAGAAAAATGCTGTCTGCCAACTCAGTTCTTTTGCAGATACTCTTCTGTCTGAAATAGCAATTTTCCTCTGTACATGTGAAAGTATCGTTTCAGAGGCTCACAGGTAAATTGTACAGCAGCTTCACTTAATCGTGTGGATTAAAGAATGTAGGCTAGAAGAAGTAGTGGTGAAAGTGACTAGTGTAACCAGAAGAAATTGCTACATCAAAAAATCAGAATGAAGTTTAGTATCAATCTGGACTCTGTTTAGCATGTGGTGTTGTCTGTACTAGACCTGGTTCAGGAATGGATTTCTGTATGCCATGCTGTCTTTTTTTTATCAGTGTTTCACTTAGACCTATATCTTCATAAATTCTAGGTTAGTGCAGGACTCAGCAGTCTTACAGAGAGGATGGACCAGTGTAGCAAAGCCACACCACTGACCTGTAGATGTGAAGCCTGTGTTAGGTGAGGAGGTGATAGCACTGGGAGGGAAGTCAACAACCTGCATATTTTTGAGGTAAACTGACCTCTGCAGCTAAATGGATTGCTAAAACAATCCTTGTGTTGATGAGGCTTTGCAAGCCAGGCTACTGGAGCCAATAACTATGTGCTGTTAGCAGACAGCATTCCAATCACTTCATGCTCTCTTGATGCTTTTGTCCTGTAACTATGCCTAATAAGGGGGATATTGCATTCAAAGAAGAGGCTCCATCAGAAATCATCCTTTTCTGATGCTAGCTTTTACTCACCAAGGAAAACTGTTTAATCTTTTTTCTTCTGTCCTATAAATGTTTTTCAGCTCAGTTTCATTTGTATTCTTCCTGACTTCCTTTGTGATACCAAGGTGAAGTTAGAAGGTGTTTTAGAACGCAAGTTTTTTTATCTGAGGTGTGTGCAGCTCTGCCTTGCTTTTGGCAGCATTGTCTACATGCACTGCTTTACAAGATCTCCAATTACATCAATCTGCTTGTAGCTTTGGTCTGCAAGAGTAAGACTAGCTCCTTTCTATCACTTCTTTCAGCAGGCTGCTCGTCAAAAATCATTGGGAGATTATTTTTAGGGCTCCCCCTCAACATTGCTCTGTGTATCATCCCAGCTTGGAACAGATTTCTTTTTGAAACCTCACAGATTCTTATAATAAATCTTAGAATCATAGAATAGTTAGGGTTGGAAAGGACCTTAAGATCATCTAGTTCCAACCCCCCTGCCATGAGCAGGGACACCACACACTAAACTATGTTGCCCAAGCCTCTGTCCAGCCTGGCCTTGAACACCTCCAGGGTTGGAGCATTCACAACTTCCTTGGGCAACCTATTCCAGTGCCTCACCACCCTCACTGTGAAGAACTTCTTCCTTCTATCTAACCTAAACTTCCCCTGTTTAAGTTTAAAGCCATGTGTTACTTCCTCTCAGTTACTTGTTAAAATAAACTCAGAATAGAAGCTTCTTTATTAAAAGAGACATTCTCTTTTCTATCATCAATATGTATTTTATTACCTCCTTTGGACTACAAAACAGGTGTCTCCAATGGATTCTTTACAGTAGAGTTAAACCCACTGGATTTTCAGCTCCCTGTGGATGTGTGTGGTATTACGGGAACACAGCTTTTGTTTGAATATCAGCTACAGCTTGGTTGCTTGCAGCCAAGAATAGCTGAATGCTGTTCTTCTAGACATCCAAACTCAAGCTCTAGCAGTTGTCTGTTTATTCAAGTAAAAATCTTAGTCACCTGCTTTTTGTTCTTACTGCTTGCTTTGCAGGTTTAAAGAATTTCCTACCCAGCCCATCAAAAGAGGAAATCACCTTCCACAGCCCCAAGGGTTTGCAATGCATCTCACCCTTAATGCAGACAGTAGAGGAGACCCTTCAACCCATCCCAGCAAAGATTAAAGGACATATTCCCAAATGGATAAACGGCAATCTTCTGAGGAATGGTCCTGGAAAGTTTGAGTTTGGCGAGGACAAGTAAGTCCAGGTTTGGTGAGTTTGTCAGATGATTCTGGCCTGAGCTCTGCCTAAAATTAAAGGGGACCCCCTCAAATGTCTCACCACTGTTTGAAGCACATTGTAGTTTCTTTTTAAGTAAGACAAGGAAGAAATGCTTATGTTGTCATATTTTAAGAACAGTTGCTCCCTCATCTGGAATGTCCCAGTGAGCTCTCTGAAAATAGGAGCATGGTTTACTTAGTAAGGTTAATGAAGCAGAGTCACAGAGAGGCTGTGACCTACTCAGAATGGTATAATGAGGGAACAGAGCTGGGGATTACAACATTCACACTCTTAGTCCTTTGTTATTAACGAAGTCCATCCTATGAACTCTCTGAAATCTGGAGGAGGATCTATGAAATTGATTGCACTAAATTGTGTGACTTGCTTTAGAAGCAAATGCCTCTCATTTTAAAAATAATGTCTTAAAATATTTCGAGAAGGCAACTGCTGCCTTTGGCTTGGAATCTGCCATTCTAGCTAGCTGACAAACATAGCTCTTCCTCCACCGAATCTGATGGCAGCAACTGGCCAAAGGTGATCATCTTATCATAGTTCTGGAGATAGACCATAAAGTTTTCTCAAAGTCTCACAGATATCTCATTTCAGAGGGAATACAAGCCTAAAACCAGCTGAGAGCTACAGGCTCTTTCTTGTGCGGCTGGACTTCCAGTAATAATATCTATTCCTGTTCTACAGTAAAGCACAATTTCTATTCCCTTTGCAGGAATCTGCAGAGTTTACCAGTATAGATTATTTCTCCCAAAAGCTTATACATAGCATTTTCAGAAGTCCCTGAGGTCCACTTTCAAAAGTAATATAGGGAGCCCAAATCTCACTGAAAGTCAGAATCTAACTTCAGGTCCCACAGCTGCAAATACACTTTGTTTCATTCAGTTCAAAAGTTTTCCTAGATGAGGCTATGCATGTTGAAGTGTTCATGGGATCTGGGCATTAGCTTTTTACAAAGAATAATAAACCTAAAGGCAGGAGGGAACAGTATAGCAGAACAACATATTGTGCCCAACTCTTGTTCTCTTATTTATCTCTTCTTGAAGATTTAACCATTGGTTTGATGGCATGGCCCTGTTGCATCAATTCCAGTTGGAAAATGGCACAGTGACATATCGGAGCAAGTTTCTGCAGAGCACTTCCTACCTGACTAACAGCCAGCATAACCGCATCATGGTCTCAGAATTTGGGACGCTGGCAATGCCAGACCCATGCAAGAGTGTCTTTGGGCGCTTCATGTCACGCTTTGAGATGCCACGTAAGAAGGATTCTAAGAAATAAAAAGTGTTCTGAGATTTGGGGAACTTGTAGTTAGGTTTAAAGGGAGATGTAAGGAAGTCTGGTAGACCTATTCTGAGCCCATGTTCTTCTTTGAAGATGACCCCTTGGAACAAAACCAACAAAAATGCAAGCTGGTGCCAGACTTAGCTGCGAGAGACACATTCACTTTAATGTTTTAGCGCCACTTCGGCTCACCTTGATTCCAGAGTTTGTTGCAAATTTCCAACGGAAATCATTCCACAAAGAGCACCCTGTGCAGTCCTGATAATGAGCATTACAATGTGCTGTTCGCCCTGAGATACAGCTTTGCCCTTTAAACACCTTGCCTTGCTAAGCTTGTAGGGTAAGTGGGCTAATCCCTTCCTGTACTAAGGTGCAGGAGATAATATTAGTAGGGTAAGAGACGGTATTGTGCAGGAATGGAAGAACTATTACCTATAGGATTCTATGTATGTCAGAAAAGAAGTAGGCTTAAATGCAAGCAAAGTACTTTCCACTGAAAGCAGAACAGACCTGAAGTTTGCAACTTGTTGCTTACATGTGTGACCATCTTCTGCTTCTTATTTTCCCTGGTGAGGTGAAGCCTGTCCTGTCCTGTCCTCTCTCTGTTCTCTTCAGAGGTGCTCATACCTTCACTCATTGGTCTGCTTAGTTCCCCAACTCCCCATGCCAGCACTCTCAATAAATTTCAATGCTATCTATGTTTCTCATCTTCTTTTCCAAACTCCAACAGGCTGTTGAAGTTGCACACCTGTGCCTATTTGACTCTTTACACACTTGCAGGCTATTCCTGTTCTCCAGGCTTTCTCTGTAGCAACTTCAGGCTCTGTGTTCCTGCTCCCGGCAATGAGGGACTTGCTTTTTCCTCAGCTCTTCTCAGCCACCTGTCTAGTGAGTCTCAGCTCCCCTAGGAGTAGCAAGAACACCTCTGGCTGTTGTGTGTGCATAGCTCTGAAAAGGCATCTACCTGACTTGGTACTAAAGAGAAAGAGAAGAGGGAAAGAAGAGGCATTACCTGTCCAGGCTGTGTCACAGAAATAGCGTCCCTGCCTTCCCCTCAGCTCAAGTTGTAGCTTCAAGTGTTGTTTGAATGCTTGTTTCCAATGCTGTAAATCAAACAAGGCACTCTTCATATGGCTGTCAGAAGAGAGGACTTTGGCTAAGGATTGAAGGGAGAGAAATAAGAGGTCAGAAACAAAGGGTGTATGACAGTACAAAGATTATCTTGGCTTCACTGCAGTGATTTCCTCCAGAACTAGTCCTTGTCCTTTTCTTCTGAACTCAGTTGTGCAGACAATTTCCTGAGTGCTTTTGTAGATTAGTGAGGTAATTAATAGATAATTTTGTAGATTAGTGAGGTATCAGTCACAGGGATTAGATTATTGTAAATGGGTTTATTTGTTTAAACATGTCTAACTTGCTATAATATGATGCATGCTTAAACAGAGCTGTGTACAAATACAGGATTTCGTTTCAGAGCCAAGTGACAATGCCAGTGTGAACTACGTTGTGTATAAAGGAGACTATTATGCCAGCAGTGAGAACATCTTCATGTACAAAGTGGACCCGGAAACACTTGAAACAAAGGAAAAGGTGTGGGCAAGTGGGATAAGGGGATTAGTTTATGATACAGGAGGTACTCCTTGCTGTTTCTAGGAACAGCAAGGGGGAAGCCAGATTCCAAAAGAAATTATCACTGCAGCTCTGGGCCATAGCAATAAGCATCTCTTCATGGTGTGATTGAGTTCCTGAAAAATCTCTTGGCAATAAGGCAGCTTTCATGAGTGAAGATTCAGTCACCACCCACTGTAGCAAGCAAGGGGGAGACACATATAGACTAATTTCCGTCTGAGTACAGATGGCACTCTTACAGTGCAGTTGCTGCTTGTCTGGACTTGTCTGTATCTACCAGCCTGTGAAAGGTAAAAGTGCATACAGGAAGAAGTTCACATCACTGATCTCAGATTAGTATTCTTGCCCTGTCTCTTCATTCTTCCTGTCTGTGCCCTTTATCTCCTTCTTCCACTCCCAGTTTTAAACACTCCAAAACTGCCCTTCGGAGTCTGGACTAAACTCTCTGTTGTGAATAGGTGAAGTCAATGTAAAGTCAAGTCAGAGTTCATTTTTGCCACTTTATTTTCTCCCATGTTAGCAAGTGACTTGAAAAGTCAGAGTAGAAGTCTTCTTATCTGTTCTGTGCATCATCTCACAGGAGTGTGGCTGTATTTGAGGGAAGAATGACTTGTGAAATGAAAGCATATGTCCCCCTGCCTGCACCCTTATAGTGAATTTGGGTATTAGATGGGCTAGAGGAATGTGAGAAGGTCTGAGGAAGGATTCTGTCACTCCTAAATCAGTTTTAGCTACTGTGCCTGTATGTTATGTTACCACAGGCTATTTAATAACCACAAAATACCAGGCTTAGCGCACCCTCAGATCTCACGGGAGGCATTCCAGGAGTCTTTCCCTTCATATAGGATCAGTTATGAGTCATGAAGAAACTGTTTATGAAGTATAGCATGCTACTTGAGTTTGACAGTTTGACGTTTTGCCTGTTTTGTAAGCCATAATGCAGTGATGAAAAGATGTGTGGGTACTTTTAGTTAGAACGTTCAGCTCTGAGCCATCTTCTCATTAAAATAAAATCCCTTTTAAGCTGCTTCTGAGATGCATTGATTGATCTTCCTCCAACTTTTTCCTTCAGTCTTTCTTCCCAACACAGCCCCTGCACTGTATGAGCCCAAATGACACCCTAACCCAGGAACTAGGAGTACGTGTTAACAGTACTCACAACTGTACCTTTGTCCTAACTTTTCCTTCTAGCTGTCCACATCGAAGCCAAACTGATTTTTCTGTGAGGAGAGTAAACTCTGTCGATTAGCTATAGGTACTTTCAAAAAACCTGGTGATTTTTTGGGGCAGTGGCTGTCTCTTCATGCATGTCTGTCTGTGGTTATCACATGGGGTCCTAGCTACAATGCTCATAAGGGCAACATTCCCACTGTGTCAACTCTTCCTGCCAGTAGTAACCTTCATGTCTCCCAGAGAAATGGCTAGTGCTATTGATGACATTTTACTGGTAGGACTAACACAGAGAGAAACATTGTTAATTTTCAAGGATTTTAGGAAGATTCCAGGTAAAATGAAGGCTTAAGTCCAGATCCCACACTAGAGCCATAATCATCCAGCTATTTTTCTTCAGACTTTCGTGAAACTGACATTTAGAGCAACAGAAAACTTCTATACTGACTGAAATTCTTTGGCATTTGCAGGTAGACTGGAGCAAATTTGTTGCAGTGAATGGGGCCACTGCTCATCCTCATTATGAGTCTGATGGGACAACATACAACATGGGCAATTCGTATGGGAAACATGGTAAGACTGGGCATGAACAGGCCTGGCTTGTGGACAGGGTGTACAGGCTGCTTCTTGCTGCTGCTTCAAAGAGCAGTTCCTGAAAGAAACTTCAGTGTCTAAAGAGACCTTGAAGATGCTGTTTCTCTTTGTGCCAGAATGATGGCAAACCAGATTAGTTCTTATTTCAGAATGTCAGGCAGTCCCATAAAAATGGCTTCTGTTAGCAATTAGTTTGCTTCTGACTTCGGCCTGTGTATATTCAACAGATTCCACTCTTCCTCTCCCAGGCTTTGGTGGAAAGCAGGAGAACAAGTTTTGAAGTCAGATCCAGCACTGAAGCCTCATCTGAAGAGTTTTGACAATTAGCCATGTTTTCCACTTATAATAAGTGGCTTTTGATAAGAACCATAAGGGTTAATACAGGAGAGAAGGTAGACTTTATTAGAGAGACCTGGCTATCTTACAGCAAAGCTAAATCTTCTGGGATATTCTTCTTATTCTCAAAACTATAAGTATTGCATCTAGTTGGGATCTAGTTACCTCTACGTGGCTGCCCAGAGCTAGCATTCACTATTAGTTACATGAAAGCCTTTTCTTTTTTCACATGCCTGAGGCCTGTGCAAACAGCCACTGCTCTTCATTGTGATACCTCAGGCTGGTTCCAGTTCACTGAAGAGTTGCCCTATTTTGGTCATTTTTCATTCTTGCTGTTTTCATTTCCTTTTGGCTTTAGCAATATCTGTCTTTGTAGCACATGCTTTCAGCTGGAGAGACCAAACTGTAGATTAATATTTCAAATATGCCATTCTTTCCTGCCCATGTGGTCAGATTTATTAAATGAGTATAAGTAATCACCAAGGCTCAAGTTTTAATTTCCTTTGATGCACAAACTATGAACTTGGTTTTCTTCTGATCCTTTTCTTATAGGATCATCTAAATTAACATAAGAAATGCATTGCAGACAGTAAAGTTAGATGGCAGTCTATCATACTGAGAAGATCGTTCTACTTCCTTTCATGCTGCTTTTTTTTATTTGCTAGGTAATCCTCCGTAGATTGTTTTATTGATTTAACAACTGGCTTTTTGTTTTCTGCTCAGTTTAGCTATGACCATGGTTCCATGTGTCCTAGGGAAACACAAAGGAAGAGAGCCTGACTTTGGTTTTGTGAATGTGGACAGTCTTGCATCTCACCCTTTCTCCTTTCCAGGGTCTAGGTATAACATCATTCAGGTCCCTCCACAGAAGTCAAACTGTAGTGACACGTTAGAAGGAGCGAAAGTACTGTGCTCCATTGCTCCAATGGATAGGATGAAACCCTCCTACTATCACAGCTTTGGTAAGAATACTTTCTATCTCAAACTCCAGATTTAGCCTACTGTGAGGCAGATAGGGCTGTTCACTGCCCTCTGCCCCTACATTGCCTAGTGCTCAGATGATACCTCCTTCCTTCTCTTTTCAGGAATGAGTGAAAACTACATCATTTTCATTGAGCAACCCATCAAGCTGAATCTGTTGCAGATTATCACTTCCAAACTCCGTGGGAAAGCCATTTCTGAAGGGATAAGCTGGGAGCCTGAGTACAATACTTGCTTCCACGTGGTGAATAAGCACACTGGAGAGGTACGTGGATCTTTGTCCTCTCTAGCAGCTATGCAGCTGTAGCTGAAATGTTAGATCCCAACAGAAGAGTGCTGGGTAGCAGCCACAGATAGTTGTATGAATCAATCCAGAAGTTACTGTAATATAGGCTTTATAAGTGTAGTTTTTTAGAAGTGGGATCATCTCATGTATTTTCCTCTCTATTGATTAACTTCTTTGCCAGCCCTAAAAGAACAGGCAGAAATAAGCAATTTGGGGTTCCTGGGATTCCAGGTCAGGGACTGAAATGCAGTTCACAAGTACTACAGAGTATAAAAAAGCCAGTCATGGGAATGGTGCTATAGGGATGCAGTCATGAAAGCAAGGGGCCTATCCTGGGCTGCTTCACATTTTTGCTTTTCTTCATCTGGTTTTGCCTACTTACTGGCTTAAAGTAGCCGTTCTGTAGTAACACAAACACAAGTCAAATACCAAGGAATAAGTGGGGAATGAAATGGGGGAGAAAAACCCCCAACTCGTTGAGGTGCTAGGATCTTTGGAGAGGAAATTTAACCTCACTTATGGTCACCGTAGGTGCTCCCAGGACAGTGGTACAGTAAGCCCTTTGCTTCTTTCCATCAAATCAATGCCTTTGAAGATCATGGCTGTGTGGTCCTTGATCTGTGCTGCCAGGATGATGGAACAACTCTAAGTACTTACAAACTTCAGAACCTGCGGAGGAGTGGAGAAGCTCTAGATCAGGTAAGATCTCTGCACTTTTGTTGCATAGGATCTGATGGGGTCCCATGCTGGTTGAGTTACTTTTCTGAAGCAAGGGACAGGTTAGTAGAATGGAGAACACTATGTATGGGAGACCACAGGATGAAGGATGTGAAATGGGAAAAGGAACCATGACTGCAAGGGAAAACTAAAATAATGGGCTATTGATATGTTGGTATTTTTCTTTCCTTTTAAGTCCTTTAGAAGATAATCTCTATGGAGCATTTCCTTGAAATGTTTAAAACTGGTGTGTGACACAGAACTCTTATCAGCCTAGAAGAATGTACTTCTGTTTTAAAACCTCATTTTTAATGATACTCATTTTCCATATCCCTGTGTAATAAGATGTTTCCCCCAAGAAAGTGTGCAAAATAAGTTTCTGCATGACTTTTAAGTAAGTTTTTGCATGACTTTTCATGCAAAAGAAAGACAAACCCTGTTGTTTAAAGGCATTACTTCAGAAAACCAGCCTTTGTTATATGTTGTTCACAGAAACACAATCATCACAGAAACCCTTATTTTGTTCCTCACATTCACCTCACAATAGCATGTAACCATAAATCACTTGTTACATCCAGCTCTGTCAAAAGCACCATTTAAAGCCATGTAAGAGGCATTATTTTGCATAGGTCAGACAATGGAAAAGTGGGGGTGCTTTCAGTTTCTTGTACTGCAGGTGTGTTTATTGGAAATATGTTGTATTGTGGGTGAAGGGCAGGCATTTGTGCAACATGTTCAGACAACTCTGAACTTCCTCTGTCTATGTTCTGACCTGTTTAGAAGCAAGTCGGTTCTGATCTGAAAAGTACAGTTGTGTCCCCATAGGGTCATTTTGTTCTGCTTTCCTTTGTTGTGGTGAACATTAATTCAAGTATAGTTTAATATGACTATATGTTTTATAAACTGATTCCAGCTCTTGTTCAGCCTTCGCTGAGCACAAAAGCTATAATTTGATCTGTCTGAAAGTGTCCTTATGTCCTTATGAGGCATGTGTTTCCAACACCCACATTCTTTAACTGACAAGTAGCATAGCCATTAAACTGCATACACACACATCACTGCAAGTCATTTCAGAACAGTCTTAAATGGACACTAAACTGACAGACTCAGGCATGCCTGAGCATGATTTGTCTGTTTTCCCTGACCCATGCTTAGTGTTTTTCTTGCTGACTAACCATATTTTGTTTAGCAGAGTTCCTCAACTAGTCAGTTTACTGTGGTTACACAGAACATAAAAGGTTTGATAATAGGGTTTCAAGATTAACACATACGTTTAAAGTGAAGTTTCACATTGAACTGGTGAGTTACAGATTGAAGTAACTGAAAACCACCAGAACAGGTCCTTGCCACCTATTTTATTTAGAAGCTTAATATTTGAAAGTATTATGGGTTCTGAACTTGGCTTGAAGAGAACTTCAGTGGCAATGGTGGAATTATTCCTCTCATGCAACTTACAGAATGTCTGCCACACTGGGGCTGCTAGTTTGCTCCCCCTATTAGCTCATGATCTTGGTTGGGCAAGAAGGACCAAAGTCACACAGTCAGTGGGGCATATGTGGACGAGCTGCAGAAAGGACCAATGTAAGTCTGCTCCAACTGAATAAAATATAGTGCAGCATGTGTCTCTATGCTGGATTTGGAGGCTGAGTGATTTGCATACACAACTCAGCATTAATTACTGTGAAAACAATGCTGACCCATTTAATGGATTGTCTTTTTGTTTTCTGCTGTAAAGTACCGGAACAAGAAAAGTCCTAACCAGAACCTGGTAAAATACAGAAAGAAAAAGAAGTTTTCAGGAGTGGGAGGAATGTCTAAAGCTTCAGAATTGTTCCCAAAAAAGGCACTTAGCCAGTAATGCCATTCTCCTATTTCCATCACTATAACTTTCTGTCTCTGCAATAGATTTATGACTCAATATCCCGAGCTTTCCCTCGTCGCTTTGTTCTCCCACTGAATGTGAATTCAGACACACCCGTGGGGAAGAATCTGAACCCACTGTCTTATACATTGGCAAGGGCTGTGAAAGATGCAGATGGCAAGGTATGTTTTAAAGACTTCCATAACTGCATTTATGGCAGTTATGAGATTGTCTGCAACAGTTAACATTCTGTGCTATTATCTTCCCAGATCTTGTCCACCAAGCAAGCAAGGTTTGGTCATTACTAAGATGGGATTTAGTGTTTTAGTATCAAGGTTACCACATTGTCTTATACGAGAGAGCAAAGACAGATTGTGACTTACCAAAAATGCCCAAGAGTATTATGAGCCATTATGCTAATTGGCCATATTTCATTGACGAAATCACCCATGCTTTCACCTGGCTACAGAACTGCTCTTTGCTTCCAGCTCTTGAACAGCCATACAGAGTGGCATTCAGTGGTGTAGAACACGTGTTTTCCACTATGAGCAGAGTCATCTCTGCATGTACTTTGTACATCAGATTGCTGAGGGCTGGATCTGGGATTTTTTGAGTTAGTGTTGTGGTTTAACCCCAGCTAGCAAGTAAGCACCACACAGCTCACTCCTGCCCCAGTGGGATGAAAAGAATCAGAAGAGTAAAAGTGAGAAAACTTGTGGGTTAAGATAAAGACAGTTTAATAGGTAAAGCAAAAGCCATGCATGCAGGCAAAGCAAACCAAGGAATTAATTAACTACTTCCTATTGTGAGGCAGATGTTCAGCCATCTCCAGCAAAGCAGCGCTCCATCATGTGTAATGGTTACATGGGAAGGCAAAATTACATCTCTTGGAACGTCCCCCTTTCTTCGTTCCCCAGCTTTATACACTGAGCATGACGTCATATGGTATGGAATATCCCTGTGGTCAGTTGGGATTACCTGTCCCAGCTGTGTCCCCTCCCAGTTTCTTGTGCACCCCCAGCCTACTCACTGCTGGGGTGGTGGGAAAAGCAGAAAAGGCCTTGACACTGTATAAGCACTGCTCAGCAGTAATGAAAACATCCGTGAACTATCAACACTCTTTTCAGCACAAATCCAAAACATAGCCCCATACTAGCTGTGATGAAGAAAATTAACTCTACTCCAGCCAAAATTAGTACAGCTAGGAGTGCAGGAGTATGTAGACTTGCTCCTGTTTTTCACATCAGATAGATAGATTGATTCTTGAAGTTTCCAACATCTGTGATGATGAGTTAGTTCTTTGGGTGAAACCAATAAGAGAGGTGGAATTGGTGCTTCTACCTGCCTAAGTGCAATGTCAGGTTCATCTTTAATCATTTCTTCTCCACAGTGGTTGTGCAGTGGGTAGGTGGGATCAGTCAGGTCTTCTGCCCAGTCAAAGCTAAACTGACAGTTGTGTAATGCATACTTCTAGGTCTGGTGCACACATGAAAATCTCTACCCTGAGGGCTTTGAAAAGGTTGGGGGCTTGGAGTTCCCCCAGATCAACTACTCTAAGTACAATGGTAGGAGGTACCGTTACTTCTATGGATGTGGTTTTCGGCATTTGGTTGGAGATTCCTTGATCAAAATTGATGTGGAGACCAAGAATTTCAAGGTGAGGTGAAGTGAGATTATCTTTTTTTCAGCAATGGGAGTCATTCCACTGAACTGACCTGGGCACAACATGGTCTGCATTAGGGTGGTGTGAAGGTGGCTGTGCCAGCTAGGATGGTGGTGCTTTCTGAGCTCGTAGCTTATATCTGTGCCAGCGCAAGCTGTTGGATGAAATGAGTTATAGAAACTCTTTTCACTGCCTGTTTGCATGATGCCTGGCACAATAGGCATGCTGCCACAACAATGGCATCATCATACTGTAGAATCAAAAGAATTAATTAAAAGGTTGAACTATATGTTTCTCAGAGCACAGAGTGTGCCTGGGCATCTTTGTGGGGAGCACTCCAACGTACAACTCTGCTAACTGTAGTAGACAAGTATTAATGATAAGAAACAAATTCATATGTTACTGTGCTTGCTAGATTTGGCAGGAGGATGGATCCTACCCATCAGAGCCTGTGTTTGTGCCAGTGCCTAATGCCACAGCAGAAGACAGTGGAGTCATCTTGTCTGTTGTGGTCTCCCCAGCTGAGGTAACTTACTGTTACTAGTTTGTCAAAGTCACATAGTTTTAGGTTTACTTTCTGTATCACGAAACTGAATTTCAATCTCTCTGGCAGATAGTTCCATGCGTGTGCCTCTGCAACTGCCCAGCACAGCCAGGCAAACTTCAAGTAGGAGTGTACCTTGGAATGTCAGTGTTTCTTGAGTGGCATCTTTGACTATCAGTGCTCCTGGCCAAGTATCTGTATGGCCTAGTTGTACATTTGAGCTCCTTTGTGTGCAACAGATGTAGTGGGTTGGACAGTGAAATGAAATTCAGCCTGGGCATTCATTCTGTCTTTCTTTTCACCCTGCAGAGCTGCAGTGCTTTCCTGCTTGTCTTGGATGCAGAAACCTTCCGAGAACTGGGGCGAGCAGAAGTTGCAGTGCCAATGCCTTATGGATTCCATGGTGTCTTTACTTCTCACTGACTGAAGATCTTGTCATCCCTGCAACTCAGGGCCGCATCAGGCTCAGAAAGAAACCTCTGCTTTCTTTTATCTCCCACCTTTGCATTATGCCCTGGATGAAGTAACTGCTTTTTCTGTATCATAACCTCTGAGTTACTACTACATTCCTAACAATAAACAGCAAAGGGTCAGAGGAAAGCAGAAGCCTCTTGCTTTATCTTGGCAGACCAGTTAGCAGCAGTTTGCAAAAGCTGCCATGAATAAGGCTTGCAATGGAGAAAATGGAAACGAAGATGACCATACCTTCCCTTGGTAGCAACGCGCTCTAAATGGAAGAGAATATTGGTGCTTAGGGCTGTGATTTTGGCTGAAATGTGTAAAGCAGAAGAGAGGAGTAAAACCAACTAGTAACAGGTAGGCCCAATGGAGGGATGTAATTTCACTCCATTGAATGAAGATTGCCTTCCATGAACTCCAGAAGGCAGGTGCAAATCCTCACAGAAGCTGTACTTTTGTAGTGCTTTTCTCTGTACACTTATGGTACCCTCAAATAAAACCTTGTGAAGTTTATTCCTTTCTTTCCCTGCCCTCACCAGACCCATGGCCAACTCTGTCCTGTGCCACAAGAGACAACAGCTGCAACCCTGACACGGATCTTACTGTGTTACATGGTCTTGTAGACATGCACAACACATCGTCACCATGCCCCTGCTTAAACAGCATAGCTGGATACAGCTTTGATGGCTAACATTTGCTGCCCTCCTCCTAATTCAACTGATATGAAACACGTAGAACTCCAATTGTGGCTTTGATATCCCTTTGCTCTTAATTTGAGCAGATCAAACTCAAACACCCTCTCATAAGCTTTCTTCCTCATCCAGGCTCCTATAGTCATTGAACTCTGAGCTGTAGGTGGATAGGTGTGTTGAAGGAAGCCCTCTATAGCAGCCCACACAGAACAGAATCAAATCAGAGCTGTCTCGCTCTTCCCAAACAATCCAGCCTTATCTCCCCTCTGACCGTTCTTCACCTTCCTTACAGGCCTTGGGAAAAGATAAGGGAGAGAGACAAGGATTGTACACCAGGGCTTGCAGCACCCTGAGAAGGTGGAATCCTGTCAAGGCTCATCTCACAAAGCCACTAGATGGCAAACACCTCCCGTTGCTGGTGCTCCAGCGCTGCCACGCGACTGCTTCCTCCACCACCATGTAATCTCAGCCCCTGTCTGCACTCCGCTCCCTGAAGAGCTGTTTCTTCTCCTGTTCTTGTTATACAGAGATCCTGCCCTGAGGCTTGGAGTTTTACCCCTCTGAAAAACGGACTGGAAAATGCAATACATAATCTTCAGTTTCACGTTCCTTCCTTCAGAGCTGATCCTTCCGTCCCCTGGAAGCCCACGTAAAAACGATTTAAACAGCCCCTTCTTGTCCCATTAGTGATTCCCATCATTTTGACTGCTGTTTGCAGAGAGCTTTCAGTTTTCTGCATCACTCAGTGACTTAGTGTAAAGTGAGCTAGTAAACAGCTGATGTAGGAAAGCAGTTGCTACAGGAAATCACACCGATGGTCCATTGGCGAGTTGTCACACTCCCGCATTTGTTAGGACTGGCACATCGGCTTCTAACAGCCTTTTTTACTTTCTTTCCGTATCACTGGCTCACACAAGATCGCAGTATGTGCGCAGGACACGTTAGCTGGAGACACGGACGAGCAGCCGAGCTGCGGCCACGAACAAGGGAGTTTCGCCAACCAGCGCATCAGCGCAAGCAGACGGCCGGCTCCTGCGCCCGCGGAGATGGCCAG